CACGCACCATTTTCCCCGGATCCGGCCGTTCCTTTTTTGGGTTGTCTCACAAAGCCCACTTCAACGGTCTCAATACGAAGGAGTGTAAGTTAATAGAATGCATTTAATACTACACACGACGTAGGCTATTGGGGGGAAGGGATCGACCCAGCCCATATGCAAGCCTCAGTTACCGCTCAATATCCCACTTCGCAGACTTTGTAGGGCGGACTCGGCCGTCTAGCGCTGGAAAACCCGTACGACAGCTTCAGATGGCACCATCCGTCGCCTGCAAACAACTGCGCTAGTTCCGGTATGTGCCTGTTCCGTCTGTTCTTGTCTGTTCTGTGCTGCTTCTTTTGCTCCCTTCCCCGCCCGGCTTTTCGAGGAAAAAACGGCCCAACCTTGCATGAAAATGGAGATTGGAGTCTAGCTTCTTTTGTGAGTGGGCGCCCTGAGATGCAACATAAAGATCATGAAGTTCGCGACTACCAATTTTAAAGTTCGCAACGAGCGAACGAGGGTCCTCCTACGCACCCAAATGGTCCCCCAAAAAAGCCTCTCCTTTCTGATACCTCGACGCCCCCCTTATCGAAGAAGCTCTGCGCATCCCTCTAACTAACTCCCAACGGGTAATATGCAGCGCGAGCGAGCTCTTGCGCAGACACCCTCCCCATTCTTTTTTTGGTATCCGTCTTTCTTTTGGCTTGCTGTTTCGTTCCTTTCGTCATCAATTGATCTTTCGGCAGTCACGCAGATCCCTTCCATGGCGTGGGTTGTCTTGTCCCAAAACCGGGACCCCTACGAAGTAGACTGCAAGCCACCACCGGGAAACCGCCGAAGAGACGATTTCGACAACCCCAATTTTCTGCGTGGCCCCCCAGGGGCGTGTGGTTTACACCTACTCAGTACGCTAGGAAACGAAGTGGGAACATATAGCATCACAGGCGGCATTTTCCGTGACAGCTGAGGCGGCTGGGCTGACTTCAATGCCCCGTGAGATCATGGAAGCCCCAAAACCGCAGGCTGCCGCGGAGGAAGGCGGCCGGAGCCTCTTTGTCCCAGTTGACCGACGACGAGTAGGTCGGGAGAAAGTGGAGGGGTTTTCCGTGTACAAGTGTACAACCCGGGCTGAACGTTGTTTACAGAAATGGGAAATATTGAAACTATCAAGTTTGTGATTTAGACGTGGCGGGAACTAAGGGTTGCCTTTGATTTTTGCCTCGTTTTCGCTGATCCTCCCCCGACAGAAGGAACCTTGTTTCCTCTCCCTTTTTTTTCTTTCGCCCAAAGGGCCCTTCCCCAGCCTGGAGTATCGAACGTGGAGAGGAGGTACGAAAGCATTATTTTCTGCTTTATGCCGATCTATCTTCTTATGGCTCGTTGATAGCCTTGCCGGAGTTGCCGTGGGGCATTCGTGGCACTGGGAGAAGGGGCCGGCGGTTCTTTTGTCTCCCGGTTCTTTAAACTCTTATTCTGACGACGCCTCGTCTGGATAATAAACAGGGAACAGAGTGGGATAAGGTTTCTTGGGTGGGCTTGGTAGGACTCGATATCGTGATGGCCACAGGTGATGGCTTCTTTGAGTGAGGGTTCAAGAACTCTTCAACAAACCTAGAAGGGCTGCGATCCTGATAGTTTCCGCTTGGCGGAACTACGAGCTTGTTTCTTACTTCCCGAAACCCCGACCTTTTGGACCCAAGGTTCTGATTGAACCTATCTACTGTTTCCCTGGCCACGTAAAGGTGATGGGCATGAGAAGGAAGGGAGCGAAACACTCTCAACACCGTCTTTCTGCTCTCCCTTTCTCGACCTAGCCCACCATCCCGAAGAAAAAAAAAAAAAAAAAAAAAAAAAAAAAAAAGAGAAAAAAAGTAACCATAAGCCCCACGGACGAGCCTTATATCGTATAAAACTTGACAGACAGACTTGAGGAGGGTATCTTGGCCTCCTTCTCCAGTATCACGCCTCTAAGAAGCCGAGAAATCTGGCCCTCCTCGTCTTGAGAAGAAAAAAAACTATGATAATATACCGAACGTGATTTCTTTCTTTGCCAAGCTTGCTAACAAGCGCCTAAGCAAGAAAAAAAGGACACAAAGCGACGATTCCCCCAAGGACCCTTTGTCGGACGAGACTTGTTAGCTCGCGGCTATCATGAAGCTTCACGATGCCCAAGCGCTCGCAAATATGACCCGAAGGGGTGGAGAGAAAGATGCCAAGACGTGGTAGAGTCCTTGGGGGGGGAGTTTGGGCGAGGTTGGCATCATTAGTTCTTAAGGCTAAGGCAGGCAAATCCCCGATCACTGCCCCCGCGCCGTTCATCAATCTATCAGCTTTTCGCCAAGTCTAAGCTTCCTACCAAAAGGGGTCCAGTGGCAAAAAGTCCACGTAAATCCAACTAACGATTCATAAGGGTTTTGTTTAACCTATTTCCAGATCTGGGGGCCAGTTTCGACATGTCTCGGCCTTGGCGGATAGTAAGGTTCTCGTATATGAACCACTGTAAGGCTCATGTACCTGCTCGCCCTGATGTACCACGATATGGAGGGCAGAACGAAGCTCGCGTTTTCGGCACAATCAATGTCCATCGTGGGAACGATAAGGTTCGGTCAGGTGGTGAACTTAATCGAGCGTGGCACTTCGGGCGCTAGTTTCTGAGGGTGGGATGGTGTGCTGGCTAAGAGTTGAAACCTTACTGTTCTTGGTTCTGGTAAAGAATAGGGATCGTGAATACATCACGCATTGCGGAAACAGAGAACCGATAGAAGTGCCCTGCAATGTTGGTCCTCTCGGTGAGAAGATCATCTAGGGACGAGGCTGTGGGGATGGTTCGTTGATCGTTGACTTACACCGAAATTGGCGATCGATCGATCGATCGATATGCCGTGGAACTCTGGGAACATCTATTCCCGGTGCGGGGAACATGTTTTGAATCTATCCAACCTAGCTGCAGATTTTCGCAAGAAAGCCCAGCGACCGAATTGTGCTCTCCGTAGGTAGACCAGTTTGTATGGTTCTCTCTTGAATAGCTCGCCAAGGTGGTCTCACCTCAACCTCCTGCCATCCAATAAGCCGCGTCCGGCATGTAAACGGATCTCTCTATCCATCAAGCCCCTCCCTCCTAGTTGACTATGGTTGGACAGAAGCCCATCGAAAGACATCAACGTAAGACATCCAGAGATCCTGATCAGGACTCGTGATGGCAATAGCTCGAAAACAAACTCGAGACATCAATCTTCCCTCCAAACGAAGGACCCTTCAAGTCTTACATCCCATGCCACCCATCACCCTCATCTCAAACCTCAGGGTCCCCTCCCGTCCGAGAAGAACTCCCCCAAGCCCATTGATCCCCCTTCCACCTAACTTCGTAAAAAAAAGCGAAACGCGGAAAACAAGAAGAACCAATCCCTCGCCCACGGACTCATCTCCCCCCTTCCCCACGAACGCCCGCACTAAAACCCCATAACCTCTCCCTCCTTCTCATCAACTAGCGCGAAACTCAAACAAACGAACACCACCCGCAAGGCACCGGAACGGAAAAAGTAAAAGGCTCATCTAAGCTTGATAAGCGGGAAAAAGGCACCCTGCGAAATGGGCTTGTTTTGTATCGTCCAATTTAGAGTTTGGATCTATACTCTCCCGAGCGTCCGTTTAGATCAAACCATCCCGAGGGCTTCGGTTAGAACCATCATGAACTATCTGATTGATAGGGAAACGTAGGTAAAAGAGGGAAATCCTGGGTGGATTCAACATCGTGGGCTTATTCGACTCCATAATTTCCACTCTGAGCCCACCATTTATATGGCAGCACCCGGAGTAAATAACGTCGGCGAAAAAGCCACACGTCGAACGAGACATGGCCTTTTTCCCTTTCGGAATTCGCCTTGTCGCAGGGATGGCTTAACTCTTGGTTTACCCAAAAGAGAGATCATGAATCGTGCCATCAACCTTATCAGCCCAAAATATCTCCATCATTCACCGTAAACCGAACCCCGAATCCCAATGGCTTCCGACATATCCTGAGCCTCGTCATTACTCTGGAGGAATCGAAGCCAAAAGTCTAAATGGTAAGCTTTGGACTTTGCTACTGAAAGTAAGCTGAATAAACTTGATCGTCAGCATCTCACGTTTCATGGCACTTACATCCGCACCATTCAGCACGAAGCACGAGGCGTTTCGATTCCCCCGATACCTCCGTAGCTCTCCTAGACAGCCCAGCAGACGGGGAATCAACGATAGTTCCCTATAGGGCGACACGAGAGATGCCAGAGCCAACGCACTCCACACGCGAATGCCCCATCCTCCATACCTCCATCGACAAACACACCCCTCCCCCCCCCTTTTCCCTCAGAGCCCACGTGCTGGTAAGCGAGCCCAGCCACATAGCCAGATGCGGGATTGTTGACAAAGCGAGTGCCATATTGCCTGGTCTAGATCCTGTGCTTCTTTTTTAGCTTTAGCCTTGCCCGTGGGTTCCCGACAGCCTTAAAAGCTTGGAGCCATTCAAGGCTGAGAAAGCTAGGGCAGAGGGCGTAGGGGCGCTTCCGGATATACGGAGGGGACGAATCCAGCAGTTGACACTTGCTGATGAGGATCTATTGAGATCTGGACGAAACAACTCAAACCCCGGGTCCTCCCTCCCTCCCGGCCAAGGGGAGAGCCGTCACTTTTTGGTGTTTGATTGTTCTTTCCTCTCTTATAGGGTGCGTTTAGCTAGGTCCCGTACCGTCTTGTAAGTCCCCTGAAGGGTCTGGATCCGGCTTGATATTAAGGTTGCTAGCTCAGGCAGAAAGCATTTTTTTGATCGTGATGGTGGGTTTTATACTTCAATTGGTTCATCTCACGGCCCAGTTTTCTTGGTAATACATCCAAATTCATTACAAACCCTTCATCTATGCATACGTTTCTTCGACAGGGATGAAAACCTTGAATCCAAAACTCCAAGCGACCCGACCAAGAAGCCCAGAACGAAAAAAGAAAAAAAAAAATAAAATAAAAGAAGGAGAAAAGGAAAATGTAGACTATTCCTCCATTTTAACATCTGCATCACCTCCACGGTGTTTCCCCAAGTTCTTCAAGAGATAGCTCCTCTTAAAGTACTCGTTGGGATGAACGATAGTCTCAAGCTGGGCGGCTGTCATGACGAACTCGTCTTTCGCCTTTTTAATCTCCGGCTTATGGAGATGTTCAAACACGCTATAGAACTCCTGGTTAGAGAAGAAGCATAACCGGAATAGAACTGTGTAGTTTGGGAAGGGGGGGGAGGGGGGGGAATCTCTTACCGATTGCAAGCCATATGATACCTGCGTCCATCTCGATCCTCCTTGACACCCTGAATCACCGACCGATCTGTCACCCCCATACCTTGCAGCAACGTCGTAAGATTATCCATATCAAAGTGCCTATACGGACACCCATGCGCCTCCCCAGGACCAGGAGCATGTTCTGTCAAGATCTTCTGGCAACTATACGGGCTATACCCGCCACCCCTACGATTCGAATCACCACCGACATCACCGTAGCAATGACGCACGTTGTACCGATACTCCTTGTTGAAAGTATCGTCCGTAATCTTGCTGAACCCGCTGCGCCAAAAGATCAGACACTCCTCGAGATTCAGCCCGATGCCCTTGAGGAACAGCGTGTACTGCAGACGGCCGTAGTGCTTGAGGTGGGCGTCGCGGCGAAGGCTGCGGTGCAGGTGGGACATGCAGGCGGGGAAGTGCTGGGAGAGGTTGTCGATGTTGCGGGCGCTGATCTCGGCACCCTCGGGGACGGTGGAGCCGGACATGTAGGAGCTGTCGGGGGTGACGAAGTTCTTGGAGAGGTGGTCGAGGATGGGCACGAGGCGGTCATCCTCGTCGAGGTCGGGTATCGCTTGGGATGTGAGCTGGATATAGTGTTAGCGCCTTCTTTCCGACCTTTCTTCACCGTGACAAACGGAGGTGGAAAAGAGAATTAAGACTTACAACCAGCTGCTTCTCCAACCTCGACGTAAACTCGGTGATAATCATACTAGCCTGCTCCCGACTCGGCACATACGCCTTCCCCCCCCTCAAAAGCACCTTTCTCGACTCCACCAAATCCGGCACGCGCATCCAATCTACCTTATACCACGTCTCCTCCACAGCACCCGTCCTCTTATCGAAGCCCGCGATAGCCTGCAGATCATCCCTCAGCTCAGCCTGCTCCTCGTCCGAAACGGGCTCGAACCAATCGATGTCGAGGCTCGATACAAAGGCGGACCGCTCGGTGTCGGCATCGAAGCGCAGGCGAAAGAGCATGGTCTCGACGCGGGCGAAGCGGCGGCGGAGATCGTCGGTGGAGGAGAAGGCGAGGCGGAGGATGAAGTGGCTGTAGTGGTCCTTTCTGCGCTGCTCGGAGAGCTTGGTGGAGGAGGAGGAGTTGGGGGAGAGGGGGAGGTATTTCTCGAGGAGGGGTTTCATGTGGGCGGCGGTTTCGTCGGGAGATTTGTTGCGGAACGAGCAGGCTTCAAGTTCCGAGAGGACTGGAGGAGGGGGGTTAGCCGGTATGTCGTGACTCCCGAGTTTCTAAGTTTCTGGACGGAGAGACAAGAAGCGTATACACACCTCTTAGCCGATCAATGGCCCATTTCTCGAATTCCTCAAGGGTGATGTCGGCGGTGGGGGCATGCGTGTAAAAGTTGAGGCGATGGGGGTAGCTGGCGTCCTTGAATGCGGCGTCGGCTACATTTTGCTTGCGGTCGCCAACAATCCGCCGTTTTGGCTCCTGTCGATTGAAGTCTTGCTTGAGCATCTTTTGGTTGTCACTGTCACGGAAGTTGGGGCACTCGTTGCGTGGGCTCAAAATGTTGCCTCCGAGATGTGAGGGTGGGCGGGTCAAATGGTGAGGCACGCATTACGGATTCCACTACAAATTTGGAGACGCGACAAGACGCGTCGAGAGGTGTAAAGCGCTTTTTGGTTCTTCCGGTGCTCTGGTCGGGTCGATTGGTCCGTGCTCCGCAGGGTCCGTCTCTCGTCCCATTATCGCACTGTTGACATAAATACTCTCTTCTCCCGAGGTTTGCCCGGGTCCCAACTTTCAGGAACTTCTAAATCGAGCCTCGACTGAGGTTGTGAGCAATATTGAAAGGTCACAAAGATCAACTGTCCAGATCGAAGTATGGATTATCTTCTACAAGACGTGAATTCATCTCAGATCCCAGAATCGCTCCGGGCCCTCTCTCGAGAAGCAAGGCTTGTGAAGTCCTCCAGCCGAGCAGGAAACAAACGGCTCAGGGTGCCGCGCAGTATTTATTCCCTGCCAGCCGGTGGAGCGATTCCTAATTCATGCAGGTCGGCTCCCGATGAGCCCATTCAGTGCCCCGCCTGGATCTGAGATGTCCAGGCTCAGTGTCCAGCAGGCTGTCTGAGTACCCCAGCGCCGTTTGATCGAAATCGCTTGAAGAGGACGCACTTGGAGAGCATGGGCGATGGACTCGGTAGTCTCCATAGCTACTACCTATAAACTTCGTACTACGACCACCGGGAAGATCACCAGGCATGTGGACCGAGAGGGAGAGAGAGTAGTTGATGACGTTTCTATACGGAAAAGCGCGGGTTTGTTGCCTCGTTTGGCATGTCTGCACGTACTTCGTTCTGGTCAATCCTAACACCTGCATCCTTCATCCCCCATCCCCCGGGACCTTTCCGAGTCGATTCCCAAGTCGTGCAGACAATTAAAGACAACTGCAAAAAAATCCCAAGCAGATTCCTAATTTCTAAATTTACCCCGTTGGACGCCTGCCTTAAAAGAGAGGTTGCCTCCATTCATGCAGATGCGAATCTAGTGTTTACAATGAGCCAAGCGCTCTTTGCGAGTAACTTGAGATTCTTTTTCTTCTCTTTTCTTGAATTCCTAGTGTATCTTCGGGGGAACTTGGGAACGTTCGTTCTTTGTTCTGGATCCTAGAAGATTTTCCTGTGTTGTTCGAAATTGGTCGCATCTGACAGGACATCAGGGACGGATCCAGTGGGTGCAGCCCCTCGAATCGGCTTCCAACAGTATTCGGTGCAGCAAACGCAAACTATCAAATCAATCTCTCTCACTCTCAGTCTCACGCTCACTCTCACCTCGCAACCAAAAGTGTCAGCCCATCATTCGTCTCCCTTCTCCATCCTTCTACATGGAGAAATCCTTTTACGAACCCTGACGAGAGATTGGACGCTTCCAATCAATCATGGAGGACCTCTTCTTAGAACCCCAGCCCGGACCTAGCGTCACGGATTTGCCGGAGGGTCAGGCACCGTCACTGCTTCCGACACCGCCTCGGCTCATGCCTCACTTTGCTTACCTCGAAAAATTCGAAGGGTTAGAGATACATCCCATGCGATAAAATGCCCCTTCGTACCCCTTATGAACCACCCGACTGCAAAGCGAGAAGCTGTCTGTCTGCCCTTCACACTAACACCGAGAGCAGGGGAAGTGTATACACCGGTATCTCGGCCGGCAGGGGCAAGTTCGTCCCCGTTCAGGAGATTGTTCCGTCTCCCCACATAGCCTTCGTAGTGGAAAAGGATCGAATTCGCAAGACTCTCGGCATCAACATTCAGAGTGACGGCTTGATGGTGACCATCTTCAATGCCCTTGCTACGTACGACACCAACCCGCAGTATCTCCCGTCCGACTTTGACACTTTGATGAAGTACTATGACGCTCTCCATCAGCACCTCGAGGTTCTGGAGACTCAACTCCCCGGCCAGCCGGCCACTCTGGAATTCCGGCTTCTTGTTGAAGATCTCATGCTAGACAGGGCAATCTTTGATGGCATTGGCATAGAGCAGTTCCGCCAGCGTGGTGTACTGTGCCAATTACACCTTCAAAACATTCACGAACGTAGCATCGATGCCGGCCTCGATGAAATTGACGACTGCTTCGCCCTCGGCCTCATGCCGGCTTACATCACCGAGGATTATCTCTGCGCTCTTAATGAAAAGTACACCGAACTGGCCCTTAACGGAGATTTTGTCGGGCTTTATAATCTCTGCGAGCCCGTTGCGCGCTCAGGGGATATCGAGCTGCAGCATAACCCTTCGCTACTCCTCAAGATCCTAGATCAAGGCCGATTCGATATATACTGGTATCTTCTAGATTTAGTGACCAGAACGAGTGACCGAAGACCGTTTATACCTGGTACCGACCTGCCCGATGTCACTTTCGAACCATTGCACGTAGCCATCCGCTTCGGCCACCTCAAGACTGTCCAGGACATTATTTCAGAGGACATCACTTTCAGAGGCCACATTTCGGACGAAACCGCCATTGGCATTGGTCACCATGTCTTCACCCCATTATCCGCCGCCGTGTATTGGCGCCAGCCCGACGTGACGCGATACATCCTTGGTTTCGGTCGGTATGAGCGAAGTGAGCTGGAGACGGCCATCACTATTGCTCTAGCGAACGACGACTATGACCAAATGAACATTCTCCTCGAGTCCGGAGCTTTAGCTATGCTTTCTGCTTCTTCACCTTACGACTTTTCTTCGCCCGCTACGAGCTTTGTCGACTCGGGGCTGGCATCGCCGAGTATCGATATTCCGGGCACGGGCTCCTTCGATCGGTCCATGCCTGACGCTACTTACGCCCCCGAAAAAGCATCTCTTCCTCCGCCCCCCAACTGGAATAGGGACCTCACAATCACACCGGCAACTCTTGGCAGAGTTCCAGGCGCACCGATATCTACTACAGAAAGGGCTTCGCAAACCGCAACAACCGATAGGACTAGAAGGAAAGAACAGGAGCGGTCGAGTTTCAAGCTTGCTGCGACACACAAGAGAAGAGGTGCCCATATGCAACGGCAAATGCTCGGGAAGAATCTCATCACGTATCTGGATTCTCTCTGCAGGCGGGTGAGGGAGACTCTTGCGGGCTCAGAAGACGGCAGTTTAGAGGCCAACGTTGCATTACATTTCTCATCCTTTGCCAAGGTCTGGGATGGAGGACTTGCCGTCTTTAAACAGATTATCAATAATCATCCGCCGAGAGGGGGGATTATCGAAGTCATGGACTGTTTGGTTGTGGCGAGTGCTTTGTGCACGTCAATAGGTAATGATGACAGCGCAATGTATCTTCAGTGAGTGATTTCCCCCCTTCCGTCTCTCTCTCGGTTTGAGAGACAAAATAAAGTGGGCGCACTAACTCTCTCCAAGATTCGTCAACGATCTCGGCCGGTGGAAAACTATCCTAGAACCCGACGAACAAACCCTCTTCACCAAAATCGCTTTCTCCCTCTGGGCCTACACCGACCTCTCCTCCCCCCTCCACGAACACAACGACCAGGTCAACCTCGTCCGCTTCCAGGAACTAATCCAAGACCTCATAACCTTCGAACGAACCTACCAGCGCACCCCTAGCCGCTCGGCCCCCTACGCGACGCGCCTCAGCACCATCCAGCAACAGTACATGGCGAAAGAAGGGGGCTGGGCTTCCGGCCAGGCGCCTTCTATGTCCATCCCCATTCCCGGGGGAAACATGGCGCAGAAGCGGCGGCTCGCGGAGTCGGTTGCGTTTACGCCCGAGTCGGAGTCAGTGGATGATGGGTTTTCGATTGATGAGTTTTTTGATGTTGATCGGTTTTTGGCGGAGAGTATGGATAGTGAGCCTGTGCCGAAGAGGTTTCCGAATTTGGAGTTGTATGATATTTTGGCTACGACCGTGCTTTTGGTTGCCTCGGTTGCTTTTTCTATAGTTCTTACGCTCATGACGAGTAAGTTCCTCTTTACACCCGTTTGTGATTCGGGAACGTCGCCGTATTCGCTAACACAAGAAACCCAAAGTGCTCCAACTCGGTTTTGACTCCAAGGCAGTCCAGCAAGTATGGCGCCAAGGCCCGGGATATTCCAGGTCTTGCAACCTCTTGAGCCTGTACTTTGAGAGTATCGGAGGCTACAGCAAGAGCGCGCAGCATTCCCGGCTCGGCAGGCCATTTTCTCTCGACCGGAGGATAGAGAACCTCTCGCTCTCGGCCGTATCGATCTCGTCGACGGGGTACACGGGGTCGGCAGCGTCTTCTACAAGTCACCCGTCCATAGCAGTCCCGACTCGAGTAAACTCCTCCACCAACTTGAGGTAACGTTTCTAATCCCCACATCCCCGCTTTCCTTCTTTCCCCTTCCTATAAAAAGGCTTTCCCTGCGGAAGAAAATAAATCTAACGAGCTGTACAAAAGCTCCTCGCACGCTCAAGACCCAACCCGAGAAACAAAACGTCTAAAGTGCCACAACTGCCAAAAGACCTTCTCAAGCGTGAGCAACCGGAACAAGCATATGCGCGAGGGCTGCGCACAGCGGGCGGAGAAGACGGGGTATAGGTGCCGCAACGAGAACTGTACGAGGGTGTTGACGACCAAGTGGTACCGGAATACGCATGAGATGGAGAGGTGTAGGTATAGGGCGACTACGGGAGGAAGTAGTGCGGCGGGGTCATTTGGGTAGGGGACTTTGCGTTTTTGTGGGTTGTGTAGGATATGGAAACGGGGAACATGTCTTCTTCTTAGCAGACCGTTCTGTTGGGATAATGGGAATTATGGAGTATTGGCGCTTTTGTAGGAAAAGTGTTTGGGATATACGAGAGCCGGATTCTCGGGTCTGGGTGGACTTCACTCATTTAGCAAGATGAAGCCAATAGATACCTTTACGAGGAACTATTTTGTAGTCGAAAAGAAAGGAGATGGTTCCTGTCAATCAGCCTTGCTTTCTACGGTACCGAAGCGCCGGATCTGCACAATCTAGTTTTTTTTTTTTTTTCTCGTGCTTTAGGCTTACACCACAACTTTTGGGCATGGGGGATATTCTGTCCTCCTCACCTACATCTTTTTCCCACTCAAACGACGGGATCAAGAGGCGAGTAGTATGTGTATTGGCTATCGTACTGAATGGGTAGTAATGTCGTAGGATGGACTTCTGATGCCCTTGCGTGAAACCTTGGAATGACTTTTCAGCTCTGTGAAGTCCGGATCGGAGTGGCGGGTCCGGCTGTGGGGACCGAGACTTCGGACTCGAGGTGTAAAATGGTAAGATGACGTTGTCCGTTCCATATAAAATCTCGAAGTCCGGATCATCATCGAGAGCCCAATTATTATTTATTTATTTCTTTTTACGCAAAAGACTCTTTACTTCAAAAAGAAAAAATAAAAATAAAAAGGTAAAGATAAAAATAAATCTGAAGATGAGATTTCAATTCCTAGAAGGGTGTCGGAGAACAGTGCTTGGGTAGATGTCTTTGCCAGAGATCAATCTGCCAAAGCATGCATTTCCAATTCTACGAAGGTTGAGAAGTGACGTAGGGATATTCGACCTTGGTGACAGGTCTCGTTCCTTCCCATCCGCAAGGTCCGGAAAGAGCTGAATTAGGCAACCGAGATACTTTGATACCATTCCTTGCAAACTATTTTCTTCCTCTTTTTGAAATCGGGTCAATCAAAGTCCTCTCGGGAGGGCGGGAAAGCCAAAAATAGAGTTTCTGGAGGGGGGGAAACGGAATGATTTGTGGTCAACCAATGAATTGTGCAGCTGGGGCGGCGTGGGCTAGGACGGCACCAATAGACGTGAGTCGGGGTAGAGATGGGAAGAATGAAGGAGCCGAGAGAATGGAAGATCTATCACTTTTTTTCTTCATGTCGCTAGAGAAAGGGAGAGAAGCTCTGAGTAAGGATGGAGAAAGGGAAACCATTGAAAGTCGACGAAGAACCGCGAATATCATCAAAGACCAAGAGTTTTAAGAAGAACGAGGGAGCAGAGTGTCTGCCAATCAATGTAACGTTCTGGGCTGGGAAACATGGGGTATGGCTCACAACTGATCAGATAATTCCTGACGATGGAACGATATCTTGTGAGAGACGACCAGAGACTCATGCTGTCAGGAACTGTTGGTTGTTCGGTACTTTGAAATCGCTAGGGCTGTGCCATTTCCTGTTCCCCAAGGTCGAATTAGCTTCAACCGATGAGTCTTCTCACTGCTGGGCGTTACATCAGGTTGCCAGCTCAATCTGCCTGCACTTCTGCGCATCTGCATTGTCAAACCGTCACGGTTGGAGATATCTGCTCAGGACGGACAGCAGCAGCCGGGAAACAGCCTGGATAGCATCGGCACACTTTAATTTGGCGATGGCGACACACTAGAGTCTTTCTCTGCATTTCGTAGGCCTCCAACGGAGCTGGGCATCATATCGGGGGGGTTGATTTGATCTTCGATTTCCATTTCGATGTGTGTGATCTGCATCATCCCGGCAGAGGCTCCCGCTAAGAGCTGCCATTTGATTGATGTCTTGCAGGCAAATTTGTAGGGGTCTCGATCTTCAGTTGTATTGATGGACCAACATGCTCTGTTCATCAGAGATCAATATCAAATTTATTGTTCGATTGCCAAGAGAAGGAAGGGATTTAGAAAGTGAAAGGCGTGAATGACCAGGCCAGGCCACTCGATTCTGGTAATTCCACTCCAGCGACGGAGTAGGGCCCGGTTCAGCGTAATCGATGGTCCCAAAGGGCCTGGCCAGGCTTGGTTAGAAATGTACAATGTACACTGCACAGATTCGATGTAACGTTTTATTGATCTGAAGTGGTAAAAATATGAGTTCAAAGTTGGCACGAGCAGACCGCAGATGCGCTAGCCTCATTCAACATTGAATTGACCAATTGATCCGATCTCTGAAGTAGCTAGCTCTGCTCTGGTTTCCCCAGTTCTGTCTCAAAACTACAGAGTAATCGTTAGTGTACACTAATCCACTACCATCAACAGATCCAAACTCTTTTCTCACGCTCCTTCCAAGATGCTGTTCGGATCTCTGAATCATCGAGTCGTTCCTCGTACCCGCCGCAGTTAGGCCGTCTAGCGTAGTTTCTCGAGACAAGAAAAAAAAAAGACACGATCAATTTGATAAGTGGAGCCTTCCTTTCGCGTCCCGGTCCTGGCTCCGTGCATTGTGGCACTTTCCCTGGGCACATCGAGGTATCGGTGGGAGTGGAGCGCCTACCTTTGGTGTATCAAAATCGGGTCGCTGAAAGGAAGGAGGTAGGGACTTGGAGATAAAGACGCCCACATTTTGATGATAGCAACTTCCAACAATGAAGTTCAAGGGCGAGAGTCGTATCAGTGACTCACAGGCTCACAGCTGCTTTTGGAAAGGACATTGAAGCTGAAGTACTTTGTCGTTGCAATTTTGGAAGCGACAAATCACTGATGCACAAAGAGTCTGGCATGTGCAATTGTAATCTGACCCCCGTCGAGGAATCTATTGATCTGTGATTGAATTGAACCAGCGTCACGACATGTCTGAAAGATATCGAATGGTTGAGGAGGCCCAGCTGGAGCCTTATTTTTACTACGTATTATTTTATTTTTAAATTTCTTTTTTCTTTTTTTTTTATCCCATTATTGTTCCTATTGGCGGATCCAAATCAAGATTGGAATTCCCGGCAGCTTGAGACTTGAGACCGACTCCTTTGTGTCCCTTTTTCAGTTGCACTTACCTGGCGATCCATTGTTCCATTGTTCAGGTGCTCATCGAGCATCGTCTCCAGGGATTTCGATCCTTTTTTTGCATGGGATTGGCGAGTGCCTGGTACCGCATCGTCGAGTCGAGTCACGAGTCACGAGCCGGAAGCACAAGCCAAACCAGAAGATTAGCTCCTCGTCACATTGTCATTGCCATTTTCAATTTTCATTTGATTTTCATTTTGTACCAAGTACGAACTACGAAGTACGAAGACTGCGGAGTAATATTGTGACAATCTCTTGCTCTCCTCCTCCTGTGCTCGTTCTCGTTCATATTCCTCATCTTAGCTTCAATTGATTTTGATCTTCCCTCCGACTTTGACCATTGCCTGTGCTCGAAATCAGCCACAACTAAGCTTGCTCGCCTGCATTTTCCTGCAAGCCGTCACTTGCTTGCTTTACCTGCATCAGCGTATTATTATTAACTCTCTGTCTTGTTCGAGGCTAAAATACATCTCACTGGACGGGGCATTGGACTACAACAGTCACTGTCCAGTCCCTGTTGTGTCCTCTATTTGCCGTTACAGTTACACATACAACACAGGCATACATACACATATCCACACCCTCGCATATCCTTGCTGTGATCCTACTTTCCCTTCTCCCTTTGCGAAAACAATTGATTAGTCTATGTCCATTCCGCGACACCAAGCCGCCATCGCCTGAGTCTCACTAGACTCTCGACCCTCGATTCCAAGAAAGAAGCCACCAAGGAATTCTCGAACACAAGGGTCTTGCGCCATTCATCTCATACCTACTTCGGACTTTACATAGATAACGAAAGGATCGATAAGGAAACAAGCTCAAAAGAAGGGACGGGAGGGAGCTGCAAACGTCAGGCTGAATCAAAGTCGCTGTGAGTTCTTTTTCTCCACAATTTCCATGCAGGGCGCTGGGGCGGCTTTTTCTTTTGCTGCCCCAGAAGAGCGAATCCGCTTTCTCATTGAACTCTCGTTGGATTCATTTGGCCTATTTTCTCCTCTTTGATTAAGCACTCGCCCGCCCGCCCACCTCGATCTGATTTTTATTTTATTTTATTTTATTTTCTTCCCCTCTTCTTTTTTTCTTTCCCTCTGAAGCCTCTACCCGCGACCATCCGCCTTGCGTGGGTGTGACGCCTTTTTTTTTTTTTCCTTTAGTCTTCGAATTCCCGGCCTTGCCTTCCATTCCCACCGAGCGCCACTCTCCTTTGTTCAAGACAGATAATACTGACAATCCTGCCAATTTCGTCCAGTTGAGGCCAGCACGTGCGACCACAGCTGGTTGGTAGGAGTTTAGCTACGCGGTAGTCAGCGCCGCCGCCCGCCGTGTTTCGCCTGAAGAACCCCACCAACACACACACCCCTAGTCGCATTCAAACCTGTGACCTCACCACCCCCAAATCGAGAACTGTGTGCACCCTCTCTTCCTTACCAGGTCGTGTCTCCTTGGAGTCTCGTCCTGTCCTCCACACGCCCGTTCCCGCACCCGCAGCACACAACGCACCATACACACTAGACACCCCACCCTGCGCATCTCAGGAACTTAATCTCGGATTCACCACCTCCTTTCTCCGACTTCCTCTCGAACCTCACCTCATCTCCTCAACCTCTGAATATGACCGATTTGCCTCCTCGAGACTCGAAATCCGACGGCCATGCTCTTCAACGCCCCAACGGTATTTCTTCCTCTATTTCCTCGCCTTCGCCCTCTCCTAAGCCTCTCCATGTAGACACCTCGTCCTTCGGACATGCGCCTCGACATGCCACCCCTCTGCGAACCTCTTTCGAAGCCTCTCCTATATCCTCTCCCGAACGCATAACCGACGCCCATGTAGAACCTTCGAATACCTACCACCCTTCGAATCCTCAATTCCGCTCCTCGACGACTGCCCCTTCTCCCCCGGCCCCAGTCGATCTTAGTTCGGGTACCACCTCCGGACACTACTCGTCTCGCACCCACCAACCCACCACACCGACTGGCTCTACGTCTAGCTTCTCCCGTTTCCACGGTGCTGTGGATATCCCCCAACCCACGCGGTCAGGTTCGGGTGACAGCCGACGGCGTCTCTCCGTAGGCAGGTCCTTGCAACACAAGACTTCTAATTCCAGTCTCGCACCTGTGTCGAGAACGCCCAGTATCAAGAGACCCCTCTCTAGTAGTCTCGGCAGCGCTTCCGGGGCCAGCTCGAGAGTAGCTAGCCCTATAATAGCGGCGTTAGGAGACGTGACACCGTTGCCGTCGCCGCTTCTATCCCAACATTCCCCCGGTCCCTGGCGGAAACTCGGCAGCAGTCCTCCGTCTCGAAATAGTATGCCTAGCTCTGATTCCCGCTTGACGGCGAGTCCCGGATATGTCTGCGACGATGATGCGTTACCCAACAACAGAAATGACGGCGCCTCCGAGAACCGCCCCCCGAACCTAGCCATGACCGATGTGGCAATGCCAACCGGTGGTCCGGGGTTGGGAGGCAGCGACGGAACTCTTAAGAAACCCCATCACACCCGCGGTCGAAGCATAAGCTTATACGTACCGGACCCGTTGTTAATACCTAAGAGGCATGGCACCGTATCTGGATCACATATGACACCTGACGAGATCGAATCCGCCGAGCCCCATCTGCGCAGGGAAGTACATCTTGCCGAGGCCCGTGGTATTACTCCAACTGTTGCGAAACCCCCGACACCGCCCCCAAGCGAATCATCCAAAGATGCCGAGACGAGTGAAGGAATCGCGATTGTAAGGAAAAGGCGCGAAGAACCCGAAATTTTCAAGGCGAGAGATCGCGTCGACGGCAAGACGCGTCGGTGGAAAGCTGTCAGATTCTTGGGCCAGGGAACCTTTAGTCGAGTGATCCTTGCCACGAGTCAGATGGGAACTGACGATGACACTTATTATCTCGACGGAGCCACCATGGAAGACTCCGGCGCGCCTACCCCGACCGTGGATCCTGACCGCAAGACGCTCGTCGCTGTCAAGGTGTGCGAGCATGGCCCCCGCGGCGGCGCGAGTGAGGATCGCATCGAGATGAGCTTAAAGCGCGAGCTCGAGATCATGAAGAGTATCAGCCACCCGTCTCTAGTCCACCTCAAGGCCTGGAGCATTGAACCGACGCGCGCTCTCCTCGTGCTCAGCTACTGCCCCGGTGGGGATTTGTTCGATGTCGCTACGGGTCACCGCGAGCTCCTCGTTCCTTCTCTAATGAGGAGGATGTTTGCCGAGTTGATTGGCGCAGTTTCGTATCTCCACAAGCAGCTAATTGTCCACCGCGACATAAAACTGGAGAGTGAGTTTCAGCAGCTTTAATCCATTTCTTTTTCATTCCCCCCCCCCCCAAAAAAAAAAAAAAAAAAAAAAAAAAAAAAAAAAAAACCAGCCATTAGTATGAACTTGGAAGCTAACTGGGGTGTTCTTAGATGTGCTTGTCAATATGCCGGCTGCAGAGCTTGCTGATCCCACTGTCGACTGGACAAAGTACCCCCATTCCGTCATTACGCTTACCGACCTCGGCCTTTCAAGACGGATCGCCGAGGACGAGAAACTCGAGACGCGGTGCGGGTCCGACGACTATGCCGCGCCCGAAGTCATCATGGGGCAACCGTACGACGGCCGGGCTACCGACGCCTGGTCTCTCGGTGTTCTCCTCTACGCGCTTCTCGAGGCGCGACTGCCCTTTGACCCTACGCCGAACATGAGCGACGCGCACCGCATGCGCAGTAGGACGAGCCATCGCATCGCGCGTGTCGAGTGGAGATGGGTCGAGTACGGCGGTGATGACGGTGAACACGACGCCGATTTCGCCAAGTTTAAGAAGAAGAACCTCCTCGGTGCCATGGAAATTACCGAAGGCCTCCTCAAGCGTGCGCGGAGCCGGTGGACTATCGACAAGGTCGCTAGTTCGGAGTGGGTCACCGGGGCTATTGATCTTCCCGACGGCCTCGAATTTCGGGAGGAGGAAAAGGCCGAGGAGGTTTCATAATGAAAACCCTTTACGGCTCTAGACCCTATATACGGTCTTTATCTCGGGACGTCTTGGCGGCGGCGGCGGAATTTTATTCTCTTCTTCATTTATACCCTTACACCGCCCCCCGATGTCTATATCCGGGACAAGTTTCTACTCTTTCGCTACCTTTTCTTTTTCGTCTCACTTTTTTCCCTTTATTTTTTTTTTTTTTTCTCTTCGCGTTGAGCAACATTTTTCCCACCAGGCATGAAGTGCACCACTCTAGAGAACAGGCTGTCAGAGATATATCCACTTACAGAATCAGGAACTAGGTAGAATGAGATGAGCTCGCACAACTAATTGTTGATGTGGTGCCAGGATATCCTCTTCAGGGATGATGAGCCCGATCTTGATGGAAACGGTGCAGTTCTTCTTCCTTCGACCCTTTCGTTAACATGTACAATACAGAACTTCTTTTCTTTTCTGTTCTTCATTCCCTCTTCTTCTTCTTCTCCCTCCTCCTCCTCTTTTTCTTTATCTTTCCTCCTTTATCTTCTATCTTCAGTTTTTTTATCATTTCAGAAGAAGAGAAAACTTTAAGATTTTTGAAAGCATTTCGAGGCGCAGGTCCGGGTTTCGAGCGTCTCGTGTTCTTTTTGTCGTCATTCGCTACCCCCTTCTTTTCTCTTCTACCTGTCTTCTGCTCTTCGTTTTACTCCGTTTTCACACATGTCTGATATGGCAATTTTGGAGCTGTACATAGCTGGGATATAGACTTCTTCTTCTTCTTTTTTTCTTTTTTTAGAAACCCATGTAACATTAGAGAGAACGTAAAGAAAGAAACAAAAACAAGAAGAAGCCGATTTGAGCTTTTATGAGGACTTGGAATCACCAATTGATATGATTGAGGGAGGCGGTATTGGGGTAATGAGGAGAGAGGTAGTTGGAGGGACTGTGTACTTGTAGTTGAGTAGCGGTAGATCGATCAATGCAACATGAGGTTTTCTGTGACCAAGTGCTGACCATGCTGGAGGAGCTCGAGTGTGTATTCATTGTTGCGATGTGCATGACGGAGTGATGTTCGAGGTGGGATTGCCTCCTGGGGTCCTGGGCTAAGCTCAAAGCTCGAGGGCGTCTTCCTATCCTGTATTATTAAGATATCTATTGTACAAGTAGTCAGAGGAAGCTTCGATCATCAATCCGCCTGGAGCTTCCTCTTTAGTGATGCTAGGCGTTTCCCTATTGAGAAGGTGAGAGCGGATGGATTAGAAAATCCTGGTTTGCTTCGGAAGAAGCTGCAGCTCAAGCTATTGTATGGTTTTAAGAGGCAATGTTTATCCTATCTTCTATCTTTCTAGATGTTCTCTTACTTTATAGAAACTCGGGGCTTTCTGCCTTGATCAAGGCTAACGCGAAGCTGCACCCTCCCGCTTCCGGGCCTTCCCCAACAACAACAATAACAATAACAATAAGAAGAAGAAGAAGAAGAAGAAGAAGAAGGAGAAGGAGAAGGAGAAGGAGAAGGAGAAGGAGAAGGAAATAGAGAGAGAGACTTCTATCTAGTCAGATCCTTCTGTTTCATCTTCTGCTAAGAAACTGATAAGATACCTCCCAGCTCCTTATAGGATGAAAGCCTATGGAGCCTCGAGGTTGGTGGCTTATGTATATTGCCAGAAGGTTCATTTGAATTCGCCTCAACCCCTTTAGAAGGTGCCTCTCAGTTCTGTAATTGAAAGTGTTAGGTATTCTTTCTATACTTTACATATCTTTATTTATAAAGTAGAGCTTGGTCGGTATAAATATGGGTAAATGGTGCCTCTAACTACCACTTCAATGTTGTTTATGAAGAGCAATCAAGCTCATTGTCACGGTCCAAACAGATGGATGATGTGGGGATAGGTCGGACCTTCCTGTGATGCTGGCTGTGGTGGCCACATGTGGCCTACCTGCTGGAATAATCTATTCCCACAGCCAGCAGCTAGAACTAGCTTACCTTTCTTCCCTCTTCTACTCTCTACAGATCAATAAACATCATTTCCACAACTGGTTCTGCAGTGCTGTGATACTCATGCTCCCCCAGGCAGGCAATCACCCATTCCTCTACTTCATCCTTCTTAAGAGAGTCCTCCTCCCAAAAAGTTCAAATTAAAGATAACTCAACGAAGAAAGCCAAATGACAAATGGGATCCTACAAAGTCGCTGTAGTCAGTAGCTGCGAAACCTTTACTATGTCATGTTTTATCCCGGAAGACCTTCATCACACGGGTAACGCAGTTGACTATCAAGAGTTATATGAATAGTTGTTGCTGCGCTTTAAAGAGAGTGAACGAAGCCGCATTAAACTCCAGAAGCAGGTTGAACCAACTGATTTCTCTTCATTCTTGTCCCTTTGAGGATTAGAAATGCTTTCCGTCGTCCACATCCGTGGACTCCAAACAAGATCTCCTCTCCGATGATCCGGCGGCGGGAGAGGATGACGTCAAGGACTTCCAGTTCGTCGCCGTCGAGAGCCGTGTCCACAAGGTCATGAAACAATATTTAGCCGGGCAAAGCAAACTCCAGCAGAAACCCGCAGCACAAACTGAAGTGGTCGAGAGAGAAGCTCGGGAGCTCCCTCTCCGGGTCAACTTCCGTAACAGCCCTTTTGGGCTTCTCTTCGTACTGGCGGAAGAAGAGCAGGGCCCCCCATTTCTACCGCGTATGTTCCAGCCATGCAGGCAGTGGAGGCTAGCGACACGAAGAGCCAGGTCCGGGCTCTCGGTGACGGCGCAAACCGAAATTCTTCGCCAACTCGGCCCAAGCTGTATCCCGACCGGTGGTGCTTCCGCACTGACAACGGCAAGTCGCAAACACCTATTTTCGTCATCGAGTACAAAGCCGCACATAAGCTCCGTGCCGGTACCATTAAGACGGCCCTGACTAACACGTAGGAAGACGGCCTTTTTCGTGATGTGATTCGCGAACTGCATGGCAACCGTATGAGCCAAGATGAGGATATAAAAGCCGCTGTCACGGCGAAGAGAGCTACGACGCAAGTACTGGTCCAGGCATTCCCCTACATGATCGACTTTGGACTCCAGTACTGCTTTGTGACGTCGGGCTAGGCACTGATCCTTCTGTACCTGGACGCAGACGATCCGCGGACTCTCTATTACCACCTGGCTGTTCCTCGAAAAGAAATAGGGACGGTAGAAGGCGTTGGCTATATGCGGCGTACAGCGGTGGCGTTAGTGTCGACGATGACATTGCTGCACTGGACGCACCGCCACTGACGCAGAAGTGGAAGCTGGGCGCGCTGGCTGAACTTGAGGTGTGGTCTGTTGCGTATTCAGAGATAGGGCTGGCTAGCGAGGGACATAGTAGCCAGGGAGCCAGGCTGCGCTTACATCGTCTCAACATATCCCTCGACTAGCTCCACCTCCTGAGGGGAAAACATGTCAAGAACCGTGGCCGATTGGGAAGCCCACTTAGTATTGCACGCAGGCCTGCCTTGTTGGGCTGCGAGATGGTGGTAGACTCGATCCGGATTGCCCGAACGTACACTTCCACCATCGCGACCGGTCCTCCTCTACTCACCCCATAACACAAGCCGAATTTGCGAATCTGACGCGCGAACAACTAGCTGAAGACCTAGACGAGGACTGTTAAGCCTTGGACAAATACGGCAAGGAAGGGCAGCCTCTGGTGAAGTGGCAGCGATTGACTGTCGGTTCCAAGGATGTCCAGTGGTGAAACGAGATACTCGAGGCGCTAAGGGTCCCTCTGGTTCGAAACGTCGGATTCATCCGAGATCGAAGGGATCAGGAGGCATCGAAGTGTTGAAAAGGCTTCTTCAGATCCCAAAAAGAGATACTAAAAAGTGATACCCAATAGAGAATACCCGATAGAAGATGCCAAACCTTCATCACCACTGCCGCATTTTCAGTGAAGTGTCACGTATCTATATCTAATTACACTTGATTCAACCTCTAAGAATGGTGATACGGGCGGCTGTATGATGTCGCGACTTCATTTGCCAGCATCATTGCAGAATAGGATGAATCCGACTTGTTCAGGTCGGCGCTTTTGAATGAGGCACCGCAAGAGATGTTGAACTCTGATGCCGGATCGAGGGTACCATTGCGATTCGGAGTTTAAAACAGCAGATCGTCGAATCTCTGCCGACTCGGAGGAGATCGGAAGAATTGAAGCCCATCCATGTTTGTAGCATTATCCAAAAAAGGTGGGATAAAAAATGAGGCTCAAATCAGCCTAGGTCATCCGAGGCGGGTGAGGCCCTCCACTAAGACCACTTTTGCCGCAGCCACTGCCACAAATTTGACCTCATCGGACCTTTTTTTGCCTCGCCTCGTGTGACTCATTTCTCACCAAAAACGCCATGATGCCATGATGCGGCATATTCAGGACGAGCACCACAAGGGAAAATCTGTTTAGATCACGCCCCACACATTATCATTTATATAGCAGATGAAGCAAATGAGTCCTCAACGAGCTAAAAGAAAGACAGCTCAACTTCGAAGCATTGTAGCTCAGGGGTAGAGCACTGGGCTCATAACCCAGGGGGCCTAGGATCGAAACCTAGCAATGCTACATTTTTTTTCTCTTTTTTTTTTTTTCTTCCTTCCTCCTCTCGTCTTGGTATCCATCTACTTTTGTCTCGTGAAACAGACGTTATTATTTTAACTTGGATTTCTTTTTCTTTTTTTCTTATTCTCTCGTTCACGCTTCATCTTTACCTTTATACAGATATGTAAATTGCAGAGACAAGGCTTGGATCAGATGTTCCAGCTCTTATGTCCGGGGTCATCAACGACGTCTTCATGCCTGCATCCCGTCTCGGTGGTCTATCGCTTCTCTCCGAGACTTGAGATGACATCATCAGCTAGATCCGGGCAGAGTTTCAGATATTTATTATCCATCTCCTCTCACAAGATTTCGGCTCCTCGTTCCTTTTACTCCAATCGGGTTCATCAAAAAGTCTTGCTTCTATTTTCTACTCATCCGGGACCGATCCCCATGTCTTTTACTTCGTAGCA